CAGCAGGAGATAATGCACAAAAAATAAGACTTATAGAATCAATTTACATTATAACTACTATAGAAATATTTTGTCTTGGTTGCATTTATGCAAGGTGATGTACATTTTTTCCATTAAGAAAGTGCATTTTTTATGGTTTTGTTCAAGATGTAATTAAAAATATCTTCAAATGTCACATGTAACTTCATATACAGTATGTACTGCAGCTGTGTCCTGAGTTTCTGTACATCATAAAAAATTCAAATTTCACAATTTTTCCTTCAAAACCATTCAGTTTCTGTGTCATTGACCTGTGAATATTGCCCCGCTGCAGCTCAGGATTAAAACTCTGCCCTGGGTTAATACTTTGAAACCTTTGTAAAAAATATTTAAACTTTTCAAGAACACAAGCTTCCTGCCACCAACAGTGTCCTAATATCATTGTTGCTTAAGCAAACCTCACTGAGCTGCAGCGGCCAGGTTCATGAGGCCATGCTGTTACTGGTTGGGCCGGATGGCTCGTTTAGTTGCTGGGGACCAGCAGGATGAATCCGTCTCGGCTCTTTTTGAAGTCCACGCTGCTCTGGCCAGGTTTGGTTTCAACAGTGACGATCTTGAGTTTTCTTCGCATTTGAAGCTGCACAGCTGAACAGCAAACCCTCACAGGGAAATGGACTTTTCTTATACTGCAGGGCAAAAAGACAAACACACGTTTCTGTTAGCTACACTTGTGACACTTTATCGACAGTTTTATTTCCCCAATCCAAGAACTTTGATTGTTCATTTATTACCCATCTCCATATTTCTTATTTCTTTCCCAGTTTAAAGAGTTGCTCCTAGTGACGAGATTCTAAGAAAAATCTTAGAACTGTGGGCATTTCCCAAGACTTCCCACTGTGAAGTCGCTGCTTCCTCTCGGCCCTCAGGGACCCTGCATCCTCAGCCCCACTGCTCCGCCAAACACAAGCTGACCATGCACATGGTTCCGTCTCTGCATACATGCAGACCTTTACTGTATCCGCCTGCTGTACATCACAGTTGGAGGCTGGAGGACCGGAGCATGGTTGATATTCCCACTTGTGAAGGGATTCCTCTTATGAATGTATTCATATGGGGTTGGTGGTTTTCTAGCAGGGTAGACACTTTGTTTGAATCCAAACTGAAGGCTTTAAAAGGCAGACGCAGAATCATATTTGCCAAACAGCCATTTGTGGACAGCAGACGTCAGAAAGCTGAGGCAGAGCTTAAATTTAGAACAAGTCACTTCTTGCACTCACACTCTTTGAACTCAGTCACTGCACATTTCCAAAGCTGTGTTGTGGCTGATTATATTGTAAGTCACTCCGACAGGTGTGGCCTTGCTCTCCCTTTCCACAGTCCCAATTGGCTCTTCATTAAAACCCTGACCCCCCTAGACCAGCTGCCTGGGGGGACCTGACACAGAAACTCACTGACCTCCACAAAGTATGGATTTGTGTGAGGTACTGATCTCATCATGCTGGCTACCAAAAATGAAACCAGACACCGCTGGAGCGTGTTGAGAAAACCCTCTGGCTGTGCCCGAGGGCAGTGGACGACAGGCTGTGGCTCAGCAATGTGCAAGTTTCTGCTGAATAGAGGGGAGCTTGTCTGTGGCTGCGATTCAGTATAGCGATCTAAATATAACTGTCACTCCTCATGTCAGTGCTTCTGTTCAGACACAGCCTGGAGACAAACAAGAGCCATTATGTCACATTGGCCCAAATCTAAGATTTTTTTCCTGTTAATTAGTCCAGGCTGTAAGTATTTGGACAGAGTTTGTGTTCTCTAGGCTCTGTGCCTCGGCATATTCAATCTGAAATAAAATAAAGCCTCTCAGGGAGGAGGTCTGGGGTGGGTGGCTGACACTCCAACCAACAATCAGCATTGTTTTCTTTTAACCATGACCACAATCTTTCCTGAAACTTTAACCAAGTGGTTTTAGTTGCCTAAACGTAACCCTATTTTAACCTTGGAGTTTGGCAATATGAATACTGTAACGTGACATGCAGTTTTGAAAAGCACAGAAAAACAGCTTCTTTTGTCACTTAGGTATGAGGACTTGTTGTTCCATGAGGGGTTCTAGTAAAAGAAAAGAAATATGCAATTTTAACCACTTTTAACCCAATCATTATTTTATGTTCACAGCTGCTGTCACCACTTTTGCTGTTTCAGCTATTATTTGAAAAAATGGATTTTAAATGAGAATTTACATGGTTTAAATTTTGTAAATTTAGTTCACAATGGCCTCTGTGGGGGACAGTAAAAACAGTGACACTTTTGTCTTTGCCCTCTGAGTTTGTAGATGGTGAGTGAATGCCTTATTTTATCGTTCCTCAGCCCTCAATCGTCACTCGACCTGGAAGTTGTACCGATCTGCCATGATGAAGAACGTACCAAAGCTCTTATTTCTGCTGATGATGCTTGATCTGATGCTGGATGCTACTAATCTGATGTGAATGCCAGCCTCTGGTGTCTTCATTATGGAGAATTACAGGTCATTTTATTTTTTGCAGATGAGTTGTATGTGTGTTGAGGCATATCCAGTGAGCCTGGTGCTACACCATGTTGCTGTTTGTCCCATTGTGGGTAAATCAGATCAACACACTGTGCCTGTACAGAAGTCCCTCCCAGGGAATAATGTGCCATCACAGATAAAAGATGTTTCTACTGACAGAACACTCTTCTTTAATGGTGTTTCCTGCTGGAGGATGACCACGTTCTTCTATTAATAACATTTCTCAGCAGAAAAAAACACATTTCTCTTCAACAGTCACAAAAAGAAGGACTCACTATCCTAAATATTTTAACTAGATCAGAGTCAGTGCCTACTTCATAGCACTTCTGTCAAATTAAAGCAGCTATACCTGGGCTGGCATCAGCACTTGTGAACAGTCCACTGAAATTAAATTAATTCTGTAGCTGTGATGGCAATTTACAGCAAGATTATTAGCACCCCAAGTGATATGAATACAGCCCCAGTTTCCAAAGAAAAAAGGACTGATTTTAAACAAAATAACAATTAGTACAAAATAAAGTCCTTATCACAGGTGACCTGTACATAGTTCTTTTATCTCCTAGATTATCTCGGTTTTACTGCAGTGAGGTTTATTTAAAAAATCTTTAAAAGGGTTCAAATAGAAAGAAAGCAACTTTTGGCTTTTCCCGTTTAAGGGTCACCACAGCAAATCGTCACACTGATGACTTCCATGTTGACATTTGGCACATGTTTTACGCCGGATGCCCTTCCTGATGCAACCCTGACTCGAACCTGGGGCGCTGCGGTGAAAGCGCTGCACCTTAACCACTAGCCTACCAGGGACGGCTCTTTAAAAGGGTTCAAATAACCTCAAGAAATCAGGAAAATGTAGTCAAACCCTGGAGGAACATGCCACAACAACAGAATGCAAGTTTTTCTGATCGACACTATAATGATAACATGGAGAAAGTGGTTGTACATCTCAGCAGTGAACAAGCAGAGAAGTTTTGAGTCTTGCTCCTAATGATCCCATACACAGGATCAAAATATCACACAAAATCTCTCTCATGTAAAGACAACTCTCACTTTCTGTTTCTGTTACACAAACACCCTGTACATGCAGTAACACTCAGGGTGACTGAAGCAGCAGAGAAAAACAGCTCTGTGCCTAAGGTTAGCACCTTTAATTTGCCAATGTTAATGAGAGAGAAGAGCACCTGATATCAGGCTCAAACTGCACAAAAGAAGTGGTGGTCATCATTGCATCACCCTTTCTCCTCAGTGCCTCCCCCTCCCATCTAACTCCTGCCTCCTTTCCAAATTGTGCCCTCCTCCTTTCCCCTCTCCATCAGTGTCACCGAGATAATTGGGTCTCAGGAGGGGATCAAACGGCAGAGGTGTCTGAAGACTGACAGAACAGGGCAAAACCTGAATCGGGTCAGCGGACGTCAAACCCAAATAAGAGGCAGAGCGACAGACAGAAGATGAAATGGAGGAGTGGTTGAGGTTGAGTATGACAAGAGAATTATTAGAATCCTGACATGCCTGTTAGAAAACTGACCATGTGCACAGCTGGACCATTTGTTTACTTGCCCCAAAGAGTCAATTCATCAACTCCGGATGTTAGCTGTAAGCCAGGTAGCAGAATGTGTCTGTAGTGGACCAGTATCTGTTTTGAACTGAGACATCGCCTGAGACTGCAGTGTTTTCTGTCATTTCCCTCAGGTCTCTGTTTGTGTATGAGGCAGATTTGTAAACCTTCAGGATAAGCATCATTTTTTTGCTCAAGAAAAAAACATCATCTTAATCTGCCATAAAGAAAGTAAGCATATTTTCCAATTGTTATACTCTCCTTCAAAAAAGTCCTGATTAATCTTCAGTTAACCAGTAAATCTCTTTTTCCACAGCTGCACCTGTTGCATCCAGGGATCGAGCCTCTCCCAGCACCTCCTCAGCAGGCATCGGGGCCACTCCTCCCCCGCTCACGCAAGAGCACACTCTCGGCGACGAGGCACACCTGCTCTCATTCATCAGAGCAGCACTTAAGCACGGCGTTGGTGTGTCCTCGTCGCCAGATGATCTCTCTTCAGTCAGACGGTAGCTTCGCATATGGTACGTGCACCATCCCCGTGTTTCCCAACGTCGAACTATTCTGGTAAAAATCATGTTGTTCTGCTGACTGAACCGATCTGATGACGATTGCCTTAAGTTTCATTTATTTTACGAACTGTACTCCTGAGAAGTATTTACCTTTTAGTATCTGAACTGCGTAAATGAGGAGTGTTTTTTTGTGTTTCGTTTTTGTGGCGTGATTAACTGAGGTGTGCTTTACCTTTTGTTTGAACTGATTACCTGAGGAGTGCTTCCTTGAGTTTGTTTGAACTGTTACCTGCTGCCATCTGTTACACTGCGGGCTCCGCCCTTCCGTCCTGAGTTCTTCTCCTGAGATTTGTATTAAGTGCCCGGGCTGGCCAAGCTTCGGAACTTACTCCTGTCTTCGTGCTGTAACACAAGACTCTCTGATTCAGCCATCCCTCATGCAGGTCATCTGTCCTTGTGCCCTTTTCATCTTTCCCTCATCTGTCCGTTGTCCTCCCTCACACTCTCCTTCTCTGTTCCAGTACAGTGTGCGCCACCTCTCCTCCGACCCCGGGTTGCTCCTCCAGCGGTCCAGTCATTACCACAGCCCCAGCTGCCCGAGACCCACAGCAGAATCTCTACGCCTGACACGTGCCGCCTCCCTTATTTCCTTTTTGGTCTTTATTAAAAATAAATATTTCTCTAGCCTGGTTACGAGTACTGCACCTTCTTGAGTCCTGCCTTTGTTCAGATACGGCTCGGCCGTAACAGCACCAATATTCCAAACAAACAACACAAACATTACAGACAAATCCATAACACCCTCTCATCAATTAAAAGTAAACATTAAGTCATCAATACAAAACTTTAAGAAACATCTAACAACCGGCCTGGCATTCGCAAACAGATGATGATGCACTGGTTTCCTGCAGCACAGCTTTAAATGTGCTGTGACAGTTTTGCAGACAGTTCCATGTATACACTCATAATTAAGAAGATGATCAAATTACAGGAGGACACCGACTCATACTCAACTCACTCATTTTCCATTCATCAATGTCACCTGCCCTCCATGCCACAGGCCACCCCCACCTTCTCCACCTGACTCAACACCGCCTTGTCAAGACAAGCCTGCAATTTCCTTCTGCAATCTTAATTAGCACTTCCCCCGGCTGCCTGGCAACCATTACTGGGGAAACAGCAGCATCTGCGACCACGACAGCAGGGGCACCGTGGGCTGAAGCCACTCCAGTCTTCGGGTGTGAGGTGGCTGGGCCAAATGGGGGGAGCAGACCACCCCACTGGGTTCCCTTTAGCGTCATTGCCGATCTCATCCATTATAATCACCATCATTAGAAACAGTGGGCCTATCTCAACAGGTGCACCCTGCGTCTTGCGTCTCCTTGGGGGGCATGCTGAAAAAAATGACTCACACTGTAACAATAGCAGAGACAACACAAGTAGTGAGTGCTCTTTATAAGCGTGAGAACATGGTTTAAGGCCTAAAGCCAATGCTGTCGTCTCATACACGCCCACAGCTTGCATCATACGTTATCAAGTGTGGTGTGCTATGCTTTATTAGCACTGGCTTCAACAATATCCTTCGCTCTGATTAATTCTCAAGACCACCAACATGCTTCTCAGATCAGAGCAAAGCAGTTTAACAGGAGTCAGTCGGTCTAGCATCTCATCAATCAAATGCTATTCCCTGTTAGAGATGGTTGTTATTGAACTCATCCTATCGGCCCAAAAATCTTCAGCTAAATGTGCTTTGTTGAGATAAAAACAGTTTTTTACTGATGAACTGATGTATACTACCCGATAAGGAGAAGAAAAGTGTTGCTGAGGAATCCATCTGTTGCACTGTCTATTTAGAGGCAGCATGCATGTGACGTTTGACACAAAGAGGTCTTTTGATGCTGATGCAGTTTCAAGGTCCACCAAAGAGACTTTTTGGTGCTCACACAGAAAGTGTAAGAGTCGAGCTGGAGCCACGGTCAGGACATTTTTATGAAAACCACAACTCCAGTACGGATGAGGTCTTTGGTGTAAACATGTGGGAATGAGCTCATCTAAAAATAGGAAGTAGTATTCACTGCCTATCACAACACGATCACTGTTTCCCACCCATGCCGTTGAAATTCTACCATCGTATCACTTCTCCTTCACCATTCATGTCTGCTTCACACTGACTTCTTTTTTGTAAGCAGGGACATAATGAACACATACATACACATACATGGATACACTTTTTTGCTCACCTGTTTATGGTTATTTTACAATAAAATGTTAAGATTTGATGTAAGCTAACAGCTATAATGTGTCTATAGGTCATGGACAAAAGTATTTTCTGCATGTACAGTATTTCAAGGTTGAATTATTCACACAGATGAAGATGGCAGTCAGCCTGTTTGATACAGTCCAGTTGTAATCAACAGCAAGATTCAGGCCGGACTTTGAGGCCAGACTGGGAAACATAAAATCACTGAACCACATGACCTGCCAGGGAATGAGAAGGAAATGGGTCAGTGTTAAAATACACTATTTACATCCACCTAGGTTAAAGGCTGTTGCCATAGTTACTCTCCATATGATCAAAGCAGCACAAGCTCTGATCCTGTGCCGTGTGAGCAACCAAAACAAGAACCAGACCAGAAGCTGTGAGGTGGAAAAACCTCAAGGGAAAACGAGGCACAGAGCACAGGGGGGCAAGCTGATCGAAGAGCACAAGCTGCCTCGCTCTCCTGTTGCTCCAGCCGGCAGGACAGACTGACGGGTGAACACATTGAGGACAGCCACTGAGGGAGAAAAAGAGAGGAGGCAGACAAACACAGGAGGCTATTTCAGGCCTTTCATGACCTAAAAAATGAATTTAGAATAAAGGGCTGATTTTGCCAGCACCTACACTAACTGACAAACTGTTGTGGTCTAATGAGGTTGAACAAGAAAGTCAACAAGTCCTTTGACATCAGTAACAGGTTACTATGTGTGCTGGTGCTTCTCTTTGGTCATTAAAGCCACGTCACAGGACCACTTACATCTGCTTTGAGGTTAATGATGTTTTTCCCCCTTTCCATTTTCTTGCTACACTAGGAAGGGAGGGGTGACCCAGAAGATTGCTATTAATGCAGTGCTGTCCTAAGGTCTAGCCATATTCACAAACAAAACCGCTGAATTGGAAAAGAGCAGAGAAAATTCTGGAGGAAGGGATGGAGTAAATGAAAACAAATAATAGGCAGAGGAGGGGAGGACAAGTGATAAAGTAAAATGGGAGAGAGTACTGTGTCTTTAAAAGGGCTGTAAACTTGGTTCACAGCTAGTATAGAAAGAGTCTTAAATAATAAAATTTCAAAATTGCCTTTTAAGTAAAGAATCCTCCTCAATCTTTTAAGGCCAGGGTAGATCATACCCTAAATCCTGTCTTTAGTCCACTCATAGTCCCCCAGCTGTCCCAGCAGATGGTCCATGGGTCCAACCCCCCGGCCACCAAACACACTCATACTACCACTCTCTTAGTAAACAGACACCCACATACTGACAAACACACACCTA